TCCAGGGCCTCGCTGCAGGGTGGTACGGGGTTGGCTTTGCCGCGGGCGCTGGCTGGCTGCTTGCGCGTCGAACAACATGGCGCCCTCCATGAAATGTCAAAATCTTACCGGGCACGTTCGCGGAATTAAAGGGAGAGGGCTCCACCGCTGTCACACGGGCCTGCACATCAGCGTAGTCGGGGTGGCTAGTTGGCGGGCATCAGTTTTCACGCGGTCTCGATTAGATGTTAGTTCTCCTAACCATGACTTTCCCTCATTCCGATGCCTAGGCAACGTAGCCACTCTCCCGATCTTTCCTTGTGGATGGCTGGTGGTCTTTGATGATGGTCCTCGATGGCTCCAAGCCAGTGCCCTAGTAGTCCGGGAGCCAGCGACATACACTACCGGTCATAAGTTTAGGATCACCTCGCTTTCTTTGTAACGCTCCCATGACTGCAGTTTGAGAAACATCACATTTAGAAGCAATTTTTCGCGTTGAATAACCTTTTTCGTGTAATGCCACAATGACTGCTCGTGTCTCTACACTCAGCTCTGGTTTTCGACCCATTTCTCTACGATTGACACATAAAATATGTAGTTTTCTTCAAATTTCAATAACGAGATGATATTTGTCGAATTACGTTAATTTAAATATAAATTTTTCTTTAACAGTAACGATTTTCAATATGAAAAATGTTCTACTTACCTTTTTGTAAAGAAAAATATGAAAAACAATTGGAAATATAACTTTTGGAAAGAGGTCTCTGCACTAAGATGTTACGCGTAATATCCACTAGACGCATCGAGAGAATGCAACCTGTCATAACAAGTTTGTGCTCGATTTACTCGTCTCCCAAACGCGCCAAACTCCCTCCTACACTCTGACCAGTAGCGTGTATCGACTTGTTATAGGTAAGACACACGTGCTTGACAAAATTCACTGAGTAGCCGACTTAATTGTGTAGAATTCAAAAATAAAGCAAGTGAACTTAAACTTTTGACCGCTAGTATATTTTCTCATGATGACTGGTGGAAAATATTATAACCTTTATTTTCCCGATTCGGATTTTCGGATTCTCTAAATAAGGTGGGTTAGAACCGATAACTCGTTTAATAGAAATAGGAAAATAATTTAAAAGAACAACAAATGAATAAATGTGAGTCTTGTTGATAAAAGAAAGATAGCGATATACAGGGTGTTCCGAAACTACCTCACCCGGTGGATATGGCGGTGTTCGGGAGGCTTCACTGATCACGAAAATGACCTTCTTTTGGTCCGGAAGGTCATAGTTTTTAAATGGGAGCAGGCTAAAGTTCACCAATCAGAGGGAGGCGTCAAGAGAAACGTAGGCACCTGCAAACTCTAGCCCGTATTCAGAACTCGCTTTTAGTGCTAATAGCGCGCTTTTAAATTATTTGTTAGTGAGTTTATAGGTGATCGTATTCAGAACCGCTTTTATGGTCACTCTTAAGGTCACTAACAGCTAATAGCGCGTTATTAGCGAAAAAGCCTATTCAGAACCGCTTTTAAGCCTCTAACCGCGCGCTATTAGGCGCCATCTTGTGACTAACAGCGACCTGTTCGTAGATGTGGGCAGGGGCATGTTTAAAGTGACAGGTCGCTCAAATATGGCGCACCAGATGGAGGCTATTGCCGAGATAGATGAAGTCCGCGAAGTTAATGAAATGAGAATAAGAAATCCGGAAGTTTTTCGAGAGAGACGTGATCCGTTTCATACGTGACGTCATCCTTAGGCATTTCGACCGTGTTTAATGCTCAGAGGCTATCTGATTTGTGGGGATTTTCATCCTCCACAAAATTTTCCAGGCAAATTTTATTGATTTTGAAATCGAGCCCAGAAGGTTTTGAGAGAGCAGAACCTTCACCTGTACCGCTCGCACGCTTGCAATAGCAAGAAATAGTCTTCTTTGCTGTGAGTTTCCACCGCTGCTATGCATCTCTTATATCTTTCCATTCCCTCTTAATTCCAGTCGCTGTTAGTTTCATTCATTTGTCTTTTCTACTCTTTTGCAATCAAGCATTATTTGCTTTATTCTCTAGTATATCGCGATTGTCGCTTACAAATTGTATGACTAATGCTTTTTCTTCGAGGGTAACATTCTTCTTTACTCGTCTCCCAAACGCGCCAAACTCCCTCCTACACTCTGACCAGTAGCGTGTATCGACTTGTTATAGGTAAGACACACGTGCTTGACAAAATTCACTGAGTAGCCGACTTAATTGTGTAGAATTCAAAAATAAAGCAAGTGAACTTAAACTTTTGACCGCTAGTATATTTTCTCATGATGACTGGTGGAAAATATTATAACCTTTATTTTCCCGATTCGGATTTTCGGATTCTCTAAATAAGGTGGGTTAGAACCGATAACTCGTTTAATAGAAATAGGAAAATAATTTAAAAGAACAACAAATGAATAAATGTGAGTCTTGTTGATAAAAGAAAGATAGCGATATACAGGGTGTTCCGAAACTACCTCACCCGGTGGATATGGCGGTGTTCGGGAGGCTTCACTGATCACGAAAATGACCTTCTTTTGGTCCGGAAGGTCATAGTTTTTAAATGGGAGCAGGCTAAAGTTCACCAATCAGAGGGAGGCGTCAAGAGAAACGTAGGCACCTGCAAACTCTAGCCCGTATTCAGAACTCGCTTTTAGTGCTAATAGCGCGCTTTTAAATTATTTGTTAGTGAGTTTATAGGTGATCGTATTCAGAACCGCTTTTATGGTCACTCTTAAGGTCACTAACAGCTAATAGCGCGTTATTAGCGAAAAAGCCTATTCAGAACCGCTTTTAAGCCTCTAACCGCGCGCTATTAGGCGCCATCTTGTGACTAACAGCGACCTGTTCGTAGATGTGGGCAGGGGCATGTTTAAAGTGACAGGTCGCTCAAATATAGCGCACCAGATGGAGGCTATTGCCGAGATAGATGAAGTCCGCGAAGTTAATGAAATGAGAATAAGAAATCCGGAAGTTTTTCGAGAGAGACGTGATCCGTTTCATACGTGACGTCATCCTTAGGCATTTCGACCGTGTTTAATGCTCAGAGGCTATCTGATTTGTGGGGATTTTCATCCTCCACAAAATTTTCCAGGCAAATTTTATTGATTTTGAAATCGAGCCCAGAAGGTTTTGAGAGAGCAGAACCTTCACCTGTACCGCTCGCACGCTTGCAATAGCAAGAAATAGTCTTCTTTGCTGTGAGTTTCCACCGCTGCTATGCATCTCTTATATCTTTCCATTCCCTCTTAATTCCAGTCGCTGTTAGTTTCATTCATTTGTCTTTTCTACTCTTTTGCAATCAAGCATTATTTGCTTTATTCTCTAGTATATCGCGATTGTCGCTTACAAATTGTATGACTAATGCTTTTTCTTCGAGGGTAACATTCTTCTTTCGTTCCATGATGATCTACAACCATTTATTTATTTTTTTCATTTTCATGTCATGCTTGTCTTATAATAGTTTTAACGTATTAATTGAATATTAATAGCTTGGCTTCAAGAAAGGGAATTCTTGAATTTCGAATTTGCTGCAATTTTCACCAAATATGAAATTCGCGCTTTCCGAATGCCACCGAATACTTCCGGGCATAATCGAATATGCCCGAGTCTTCCCGAATGATTCCGAACGCGGTTGAAAGTATATGTTACAAGATGCTGCTCGCTGTAGCGTACCTTTAGCTAAAAGGGGCCTCAAAGCGAGTTCTGAATACGGTCACTAACAACTCGGCGCAGTCACTTTGAACTAATAGTGACTCTGTTAGTGACCTTAAGAGCGAGTTCTGAATGAATACGGGCCAAAGTTTTGATCCTAACTGAGAATAGATATTTCTAACCTGTTGCAATTTACTCTTCATCTCTCTTAATACTGAATCGATTTAGCGTGGAGTCTAAGGACTAGCAGAATTTGAATAAACCCGACTAGAAATCTGGTAGGGCAACCCTGCCGTCACATATGGGCCGCATCCGGCGAAAGTAAGGCAGAATTGATGAGATAGACCTTATCAGGTCCAGATCCAGTATACGTAAGGTACACCTCATCAGGCGTACCGTATTCAAATCCACATAGGGCACAAATAAGGAACACCTAATAGGTTGTGCTTTATTCAGGGCCACATTCGGCATAGTTAAAGCACACCTGATAAGGTGTATTTTACTCAGGTTTAGATCAGGCATATCAAAGGTGCACCTGATAGGGTGTACCTTGTCAGGTCCAGATCTGGCAAACGTAAGGCGCAACTTCCCATGTAGGAATTGCCAACGCTTACAACAGACCCAAGTTTTGGCCAATATATGTTTATTGATAATTGGCCAAGCGTAACTCGCCTATGTTTGGGCCGTAATTGGGTTAGTATTGGTCACCAGTATTGTTATTTTTTAGTAGTTGCCAGTATCCAACCAACATTAGGCCAATGTACTACTGCCAATAATTCGCCAAATAGTGAGAGTAAAATTTAGTAAGAGTAAAATTACATATATGATCAGAGTCTTTAAGCAACACAAAAGTATACAAGAAGCACGAGCGAGCACTATTTCGCTGCCGCACCACCAGATGGCCACTGCAACTCGCAAGCAGAATCGAAAGACCTTGAGAATAATTAGCCCTTCGATGTTGCTGTTAGTTCAATGCGTCTTCAACATTATTTTGAAAAATGTGTTATTGTATTCAGCATCCCTCATCCGTGAGAAAAGTATTTTTTTATATTTTTTTTAGACCATATCGTCTGTTGAGAGGACTCTAGGGTTTTGTTTCTATTACAGTAACTAGGGATGTTCGATTTTCTTAAAAGAATCGATTTTTGAATCAATTGCAAATCGAATTATACAAATCGATTCTGTTAAAAAATCGGAATAGAAAAATCAATCTTGCAAGAATCGATCTAAAAAATCGTAAAAAAAATTATTTATGTATGATTAAAAACATGCATAAGATTTTTTTTATTAATACATATTCATTACTTTTAAATTTCAATTGGAAATAGGTTTTTGATTCTTAAAAAAATTATTTTATTTTCAATTGCCAATCTTTAATGGACAAGGAATTTAGAAATAATAATTGTTGTAGATGTTCAGGCGAAAGTCGGTTCCTGGAATCTGTTAAAATATTGCCAGCCCTTGAGAATAATCTCTCAGAAGGTACTGACGTTCCAACAATTGCTAAGTAATTTTTGGCAATAACGCTAAGAAGCGGGTATACTGATGCGAGGTTCGACCAATAACGCATTGGATTATCCCTGCGATCTATCATTGGTTGATGCAAGTAGTGCTTTAAATCAGTTGGCATCTCATCTTCATTACGTTGCGCAGCATTTACAGTATTAACTTTAAGAAGATTATCGTGAAAAGACCATAACTCATCAGGTTTGTCGGGTATTTCCATGTTGATTTCAGCAACTGCATCATTGGACACATTTGTGTGATCCAATTCTCTTATCCATCTAGCAATACGACCGATTGCATTCGAACAGGTCAAAGGTTGATTGAAGTGTAATTTTTTGAATCTTGGATCCAGGATAGTCGAGACTGCCATAATATAATTATGTTCTATCTGCCCAAATCTCATCGAAATAGAGTTTTGGAGACGATCAACTAAAGAAAGCGCAGTTTGCGTTTTTAAGCTATTGCGAAGTTCTTGGTTTTTGTTTTTCAAGCAATTAATCAGTGGAATGACTTTGCTAGCTGCAACAAATCGTTCTCCAGAAAGTTTCCTTATAAGTTTTTCAAGTGGTCGTAATTCTTCCACAATTTCGTTTGCCAATTGCAGTTCAGATGCAGTCAACATTTCAGGTGATTCCGGGATACTTAATAAAATCGACCCAACTTCTTTTGAGAGCAAAATAAGTCGTAGTAACATCTGGAAGGTTGAATTCCAGCGTGTGTCGATGCTTTGGATTAACTTCAGGTGGGAGACCCTGCGCAATGCATCAGCAGCTATAGTCGATTGCTTGAAATATGTGACTATTCTTTTAATCTTTGCACACAATGATATTGCATCTTGAAAATTCGTTCTATCCTCAGCGACTAAGTTGATTGAATGAGCAAAACATGCAATATGTCTAGCAGACCCAAATGTACCTCTAACTGCTTTTTTAATATTTGATCTGTTATCAGTTACGACAACAACTATTTTCTCATCATCGATATGCCAGTCTTGCAAAATCGTTCTCATCCATCTTCCTATAACTTCAGAGGTGTGTCGCTCCGTCAATTCCGTAACAGCAATCGTGGTGGATTGCAATTCTCCTTCAAATTCGTAATGGACAGTCATCCCTAAATAGCTGATGGTGTTGAGTACATCGGTCTAGATATCCGCCGTTACGGAAAAATAATCAATTTTTTCCAGTTTTTGTTTTTCACATGCCCCAAGATACTCATACTTTTCTTCAATTTTTTTCTTTGATTGTTTTTCTTCCAGGTATACAATAAAGAGGCACAGTCATTTTCATCAGGTTTCTGAATCCTTCATTATCTACTGTCTGGAAAGGCATATTGTCTTTAGCATTCATAAAAAGGATTTCATTGGTGATTTCTCCTGCTCTTATACCTCCATCTAAAAATATAAATATTATTAATTTTTATGCATAAAATTTACAACAGTTGAAGTCTTCGACTTAAGGCTAAACTAAACATAATAAGACCTAACGAAACATAGTGAAAAATTATTACTTTCGAGAATTCAATATCAGTGTACTGAAAATGGTCTAAAACCTCTAAGATATTAGTTTAGAGATAATATCAACAATATATCAATATATATATAACAACTTCTAATAATAATAAAATATCAATATTATACAACAACTTCAAAAGATAAACTTTTTAGTTACTATTCATTAATTAACACACATTATATACTGTGACGTAAAAAAAAACAAAACAAAAACCGATAAGATGTATCTTACGTCATCAAAAACGACCCGCAATGGTCCTTTCTCTCTACCTCCTATCACTAACACGAAAACACGGGTTGGGCGCCAGGTATCCCTCGCGGGAGTACCACGAGTCCAACACACTCTCTTTGTCACTAACTAATTTACCCGGAGAGTTTTGGAGACGCCGTACTGAACGGACGTGATTACACATAGCTCCGCGAGTGTACAACAGTTTTACGTATTCGGAGTGTAAATAACTATAATTATTGCATGGTACGTTTACATAAATAACGATACTGCTTGTTTAAACAAAGTGTGCTAGTGTTTTTACACTAGCTTTCATTAAATAAACTCTTTTTCGGTGACGCTCTCTGAACAAGAGAAGTCTACCCCAAACCCACAGCAATATGGCTATAGTTGGAAAAATTCAACTCTATCCTATCACTATCCTATCCCATCACTATCCTATCTTTTTGACAATTGACACAAATAAAACTACGTATAACAAAAAGTCCTTCAAAATCAGTACAAAAAAACTGACTGGATCAAGTTCGAAAAAAATCTCAATGGAAAATACGACATCTTTCTCACCAAGCATTATGACGATCTATCACCTTCGCAAAAATACGACTTCTTCGTAAACACTATCAAGGAAGCCATCAAGAAAGTCACGCCGCATAAGAATATAAAAAAAACTTTTAAAAAATCAAATCCCGTTCCGTGGTGGGATGAGGAGTATAACAAAGTGAAAAGGCTTAGACGTGCAGCTTTTAAAAAGTGGCAATATTCAGGTGAACTTAAAGATTTAATTGAATATAAAAAGTGTTGTGCTACGGCTATAAGAACTTTTAAGAACAAAAAAATCGAAAGTTTCAAAAGGTTTGCACAAAGTATTGACTTACGTACTTCTCTAAATTATGTTTGGAATAAATGTAAGATAATTAAAAACAAATGGGTTAAAGTTAAACATAATAATAGTAATTATTCTAATAACGAAAAATTTGAAAAACAGAAAAGAGAATGCCTAGAAAAAATTAGTCCACCTTGGGCCGTAACCGATCCATCGTGGATCCCATGTAGTCAAGCTAACGAATTTTTTGATAAACATTTTAATTTCGCTGAGTTTAATATAGCTTTTAATAGCTGCAAAAAAAAATTCTTCTCCAGGCATGGACGGTATCGACTATCAAATTATTCACCAACTACCACTTAAATTTAGACTTTTATTATTAGACATTTACAACGATATGCACATTAGGAGCAACTTTCCATCTAGTTGGAAAGAATCGTACATACACTTAAATCCAACTGCTAACGGTAAAAACGGTAAAAACTGGTAACGGAAACTTTAATTAAAAATCGATTACAATTCTGGGTAGAAAAAAATAACGTATTACCAAACAGTCAATCTGGATTCCGCAAAGGAAGATCATGTATAGACAATGTATCTAATTTAACATTACAAGTAGATGAAGCCTTAAAAAGTAAACAAGATGTTATAGGTGCCTTTCTTGATGTTTCTGGGGCGTTTAATGATGTAAACAGTGATATTTTATTGGATACATTGGCTAAAATCGGCTGCTCTCCTCAGATTACTAAGTTCATAAAATATTTAACACATGACAGAACTGTAAATTCAAACGTAAATGGATATGAAAGGTTAAAAGCACACAAAGGTGTTCCACAAGGTGGAGTTTTAAGTCCATTATTATATATAATATATGTTTCTAGTATAACAAAAGATCTTCCTGAGAATATAACCGTTTCACAATTTGCAGACAATATAGCTATTTACTCTAGAATTACTCCCCTCACTGAATTTAAAAAAGCAATAGAAAATGCTGTAAAAATATTAATTAAAAATTTATATTATCTCGGATTAGAAATAGCCCCAGATAAAACAGTTTTACTTCATTTTAACAATAAAAATATACTACCCGGATCTATAAAAATTGAAATAAACAACACTGAAATAAGTTCAAGTGAAATAGTTCGATTCTTGGGAATTACATTTGACTATAAACTTACTTTCTGTCAACATATAAACAATGTAATTACAGGGTGCAACAGAGCCATGAATATTATTAAATTCCTTCGAGGCACGTGGTGGGGATCAGATCCTCAGACACTTATCTTGCTCTATAAAAGTTATGTCCGCTCAATAATAGAGTATGGTAGTTTTGTTTATTTTCCAACTAGAAAAGACAGCATATAAAAAATTGAAAGAATACAATTCCATGCAATCAGACTTGCTTTAGGTTACAGAAGATCCACACCAACTAACATCCTTTTAGCTGAACCCAAACTACCTCTCCTAATTGAGCGAGCAAAACTTCTAGCAAAACGATTCATTACCAATGTCTTATTAAACAGAAAATCGATGTTATATTCGTATTTTACATACGATATTCGACCAACCAGAAGAAAAAGAAAACGCCTCTTACTCGAATGTGTTATATATATTAGATATCTTACAGAATGCTACATGGTCACTCTGAACAATTTTTCAATTTATGGCTTTGAATACGATATCGTCACTTCATCCATTGCTATAAATACTGAGTTCGGTAAAAAAATTAAAGATAGTCAAAATCCTAGTCACATTGTTGATCAATTAATAAAAGAAAACAATGCAATAGCAATATACACCGATGGTAGTAAAGATAATAATAAAGCTTATCTAGGTGCAGCTTGCTATATACCAGAAACTAATGAATCAGTTAAAAAAAGTATAAACTCATTCGCATCGGTTTATACTGCTGAATGCATTGCATTATTAAACTCTTTGAATCCAGTTCTACAACAGCATGACAAAAATGTGTTCATTTTCTGTGATTCACAAAGTAAGTGTTCTTCAAACTCTAAATAACAAAAAAATAAGTACCTTAACTAATCAAATAATTTTTGAAATTAAGAAAAAGTATATTGAATTTACTCAGACACACCTCAACAGAGCATTAAACTTTTATTGGATACCGTCACATATAGGAATCACAGGAAATGAGCATGTTGACTTATTAGCAAAAGAAGCTACCAATATAGGTACACTGCGGGACATTAATGCCGTCCTTAGGTGGAGCTAGTAGGAAGCGTGAGTGGGGCGATCGGCAGTGGCGACTGGTGGCAAGCAAGCCAGGCCGCCGCGTGGAGAGGGTAGCCTATTCCCCGCGCTTGGGACGGCATGTCTGTCCAGAGTCCAGGCGTCCCGTATAAGAGTGTCTCAGACAATTTCAACAGAGTCCGCATAAGTTCCTCTCACTCGCAGTTAGTGGAGTCCCAGAGATAGCCTGTACTGTGTATAAGAGCGTCTCACTTGGGTCTAGCGCTAGTCGCCCATAAGACTCTCTCACTCGCTGGCAGCGCTGGCCTAGCGCGTATAAGAACGTCTCACTCGGCTCTAGCGCGAGTCGCCCATAAGAGCCTCTCACTCCAAACATTAGGCTCTCTTATTATAATCCGCAGGCCACTGCTGGCAGCGAGTGAGAGGGTCTTATGGGCGACTAGCGCTAGAAGCAAGTGAGACGCTCATATACACAGTGCAGGCTATCTCTGGGACTCCACTAACTGCGAGTAAGAGGGACTTATGCAGACTTTGTTGAAATTGTCTGAGACACTCTTATACGGGACGCCTGGACTCTGGACAGACATGCCGTCCCGAGCGAGGGGAATAGGCTACCCTCTCTACGCGTCGGCCTGGCTTCCGAGTGAAAGGGTCTTATGGGCGACTAGCGCTAGAAGCAAGTGAGACACTCTTACACGCGCTACACGCGGCGGCCTGGCTTCCTTGCCACCAGTCGCTACTGCCGGTCGCCCTACTCACGCGTCCTACTAGCTCCACCTAAGGACGGCATTAACGTCCCGCAGTGTACATGTAATGTCATTCAAATCCCACGTACAGACTTTTTTGAAATTTATAAGAAAAGTTCACTAACAGAAACACTAAGAGAAAAACAGTTCACTAACAGAAAAAATGTATAGTAACACTCACTGTAAAATTTAACTATGTAATTATCGTTATTATCAAAATTATCGCAATGTAAATAACTGTATGTAATCTGCAACTGTAAAGCAGAAATGAACCTCGCTTTATTAGGTTTCTAAATGCTATAATAAAAAAAAAAAAAAAAAAAAAAAAAAAAAAAAAAAAAAAAAAAAAACTAATTTAACCAATTCGGAATAGGCCAGGTTACGCTAAAACTAAACACTAATATAACGGAAGCGAGGATCACGCCAACAACGTAAGACGGGTTTCTCGTTCACAAAATTATCACCAAAAATTTAACGGATCCGGGGGCGACGCAAACGGTCCTAAGACGTGTCACCCGTTCACAAAGTCACTAAACCTAATCTCACTACGAGATGCACCAAGGGACAACGGCCGATCCGGAAGATGTCC